CATACATATATACATATATATACATACACACACACACACATACACACACACACACACATATATATATATATATATAGAGAGAGAGAGAGAGAGAGAGAGAGAGATTTGTTTCTAAGGAACTCCAGCCTGGGCAACAAAGGAGAAACAGTCTCTGTCTCTCTCTCTCAATATCTCTGTATCTATGTAGACACATCTAGAAATGTATATATATTTTATATATATATTTTTAAAGAGACAGGATGTGTGCCACCACACCAAGCTATTTTTTTATCTTCATTTTTTATGGAGATGAAATCTCCTTATGTTGCCTAGGCTGGTCTATCGATAGATAGGTAGACGGATATATATAAAGAGAGACAGGGTCTCATTTGTTGCCCAGGCTGGAGTGCCCTGACCTTGGGCTTAAATGACCTCTCACCTCAGCCTCTTTAGTAGTTGGGACCACACCTAGCTAATTTTTAGATTTTTCTTTTTCTTTTTTTTTTTCTTTTCTTTTCTTTTTTTTTTTTTTTTTGTAGAGACAGGGCATGTGCCACCACACCCAGCTATTTATTTTTATTTTTATTTTTAGTGGAGATGGAGTCACCTTACGTTGCCCAGAGTGGTCTTGAGTTCCTGGGCTCAAGTGATCCTACCGCTTTGGCCTTCCAAAGTGCTGGATTACAGATGTAAGCCATGGTGCCCAGTGTACTCTATTATTTTTTCTTTTTAAAAATATTTTTACTTTCTTATGGATAAATCTATTTTTTGTTAAACTATTTCATCCTCTATTAGCTGGTTAATTATACTTTCCTGTCATTTTTTCTTAACCATTATCATAGAGATTATATCATACAATCTTTATTAATTCAATCCAATATATATTAGAACTTTTATTACTTCTCTAGAACTTTAAAACACTAATTATTTACTCTTCCAACATTCTGTATTACTATATCATGTATTTTAATTCTACATATATTTTAAATCCAAAAGATATGATTGACATTATTGTTTTGTCCAACTATATTCTTTTAGATTTACTTATATATTTATCAATGCATTTTCTCCTCATCTTTTCCTGTTTTTCTGTTTCTTACTGGGATAATTTTACTTTTGCTTGAAAACTATTATTTCTTTATTATTTTTTCAGTTTTTTTTTTAAGTCTGCAAATGTCTTTATTTTCCTTCAATTTTGAAGAATATTTTTGCCTGATATAGAATTCTAGCCTAGCCCTTATTTTATTTCAGTGCTTTAAAATCTGTTATTTTGGCTGGGCGCAGTGGCTCACACCTGTAATTCCAGCACTTTGGGAGGCTGAGGTGGACAGATCACGAGGTCAGGAAATCAAAACCATCCTGGCTAACATGGTGAAACCCTGCCCCTACTAAAAATACAAAAAAAGTTAGCGGGCATGGTGGTGGGCGCCTGTAGTCCCAGCTACTCGGGAGGCTGAGGCAGGAGAATGGCATGAACCTGTGAGGTGGAGCTTGCAGTGAGCCAAGAATCGGCACTGCACTCCAGCCTGGGTGACAAGCAAGACTCCATCTCAAAAAAAAAGTGTCATTTCAACCTTTTCTGGTTTTTATAGTTTTTGTTATATAATCAAATGCCGTTCTTAATAATACTTTTTGAATGTAATGTATCGTTTTTTTTCTCTGCTGTTTTTAACATTTCTCTTTGTTTTTAATCTCAGCAAATTATTATGTTGGCCTAGATGTGGGTTCTTTGTACATTTTATTCTTCAAGTTAGTAGCATTCCTTGAATCTTGATGTGCTTGATATCCTTCATGGGTTTTAGAAATGTTTGGCTAATATCTTTTAAAGTGTGCATTTCCCACTCCTTGGCTGTGATTCCATGATACATATATTACATCTTTTTGCTATGCCATTGTCTCTTTAAATCTATATTTTCTCTGATTTTCTTCTTGTTTTACAGTAGTAATTGGTAATTTTCTCGTTGTATTGTTTCTTTGTTTCAATTTGGCAATTTTCTTCTAGTTTAATAATCCTCTCTTTAGATGTATCCAATCTGCTTTAAACTCATCTTTTGAGTTCTCAATTTCAGCAATTATCTTTGCATTTCTATTTCATATTTTCTTTTTGTAGCTTTGAGTTATTTGATGAAAGATCCTATCTTAACATCAACTTCTTGAACATATAATTCATACTTTTTATTAAGGCTTATCTGCAAACTCCAATATCTGGAACTATTTTCTAGCCCCAAATTCTTGATATTTTTGTTAACAGTTGATTGAATTTCACATATTACATATGGAAAATTTTAGGAGGTTTGGATGATGTCAACTTACTCCAAAGAATACTCATCTCATCCTCTGGCTGATGATTAGGGTAGAGGCAGTTGGTTTCAATACAATGAGAAATAAAACTTTCTCTACATTTGTTTTCAGACGCTGCTTGCCTTTTCTCACAGACCGTAACTGTCCAGGGCTCTTCACGGAGAGTTTGTTGTGTTTATTAAAGCTTTTTCTCCTTGACTGTCTCTGATATTACTGGGGGAGTGCTAAATGCCCACTGTAAGTTTGTGTTTACTTTCTGCTTGGTTTCTCATCCTATGCCTCTATACAAGTGAGGGATAAGCAGTACCTCAGGGAAAAGCTAGCGCAGAGCCTCGAGCTCACATCTCTACACCTCCTATCCTTCTAAGTTCTTTTCTTTTCAAGTCCTGGCTGTCTTGGCTTATCAAATTCTCATTTTTCAGTCTTCAACTCTATGATGAGATTTTCACAAGTTCTGCTGGCTCTATGCCTATCCTGGCCATTCTCTATCATCTAATCTCTCAGACTTAGAGTCAACGATCACCTCAAGAGAAAAAATGGCACATAGAATTTTACTCTCCTTCTGTCGCCCAGGCTGGAGTGCAGTGGCGCAATCCCCGCTCACTGCAACCTCCACCTCCCAGGTTCAAGCGATTCTTCTGCCTCAGCTTTCCCGAGTAGCTGGGATTACGGGCAAGCGCCACCATGCCCGCATATTTTATTTTAGTTTAGTTTAGTTTATTTATTTTATTACTTTATTTTATTTTCAGTAGAGACGGGGTTTCGCCATGTTGGCCAGGCTGGTCTCAAACTCCTGACCTCAGATGATCCACCTGCCTTGGCCTCCCAAAGTGCTGGGATTACAGGAGTGAGCCACCGCGCCCAGACTCACGTAGACATTTAACTCACCTGAATACGTTTTTTCCAGAACCTTAGTTCCTTGACTAAGTTCCTTGGAGGTTTTCTGATACCTTGAAATGCTTGCTTGTTTCCCTGTTTTTCAGATTTTCGGTTTCTTAGTAGAAGTGCTGGTTTGATATAATCTACTCTGTCGTAGCCGAGTTTGGTATGATCTACTCTGCCACAGCCGAAAGTTAAAGATCCATGAATCAACTTTTAAATTTCTTTTAACTTAAATCTCATATTTTGTAGAACAGTGGCATCCTAAATTATAGCACTACTTGACTTCATTTTCACAACGATTTTGTAATGACTGTAGTAATTCTTGTTCATTTTTAGCGCCTGTAGCACTTCCGGCATAAGGTTTGACACATAGGCATTTATTTAATAAGTAGTTGCTGAAAAAAATAACTGAACATAGTACTCTCAGCAGCGGTTTCACTTTCTGGGGTTTCAGTTACCTGCTGTAAACTGCAGTCTGAAAACGTTAAATTGAAAATTTCAGAAATAAACAGTTTATACATTTTAAATTCTGCACTGAGTAGTATAATAAAATATCATGCCTTTCCATCTTTCCTGCCCAAGGTATGCTAAAAAGAAGCGTAAAGTGCTTCCTTTAAGTGAAAAGGTGTAAGTTCTCAACTTAAAAAGAAAAGAAAAATAAATGTATGCTGAGGTTGCTAAGATCCATGGAAACAATGAGTCTTCTATCTATGAAAGTGTAAAGAAGGAAAAAGAAATCCATGCTAGTTTTGTTGTTGCAACTCAGACTGCAAAAGTTACAAGCCACGGTGTATAACAAATGCTTAGTTGAGGTGGAAGAGGCATTAAATTTGTGGGCAGAAGACATGAACAAAAACGTGTTCCAAATGAATGACAATAGGGTTTGGCATTATCTGCAGTTTCAAGCATGCATTAGGGTTCTTGAAATGTATCCCCGGCAGGCAGAGAGGGCATACTGTAAATAAGTTTGTTAATGTACTACAGGTATGTGATTAATATGCCATATTAGCAACTCTGAACATTTTTACCTGTCTCAGAACGTATTCCTTAATGCTAGGTCATCCAGGAGACAAATAAGGACACAAGAAATCCCATTTTCTGAAATAATCTGATATTTGATGTTTTAGAAATATTAATGTTTTTATTCTCGGAAAAAAATCAAAGAGGTTTTTTTTTGTGTGTATCCTAATACATACTTTAAGCTTCTCTTTTGTTTAGTATACATGGGAAAGGACACAATTATACTTTCCATGCTTAGAATTTAAAATGTCTTAATCCAGCCTTGATATTTCTTAACTAGACATTTTAAAGAGAAGAAACTGTCAGCCATTTTGGATGGCATGAGGTTATAAAGCTTTGGTCAGTGTTGAGAATCTAGTTCATGTCTATATTTCCATAAAATGTTATTTATACAGCAATTAATAATTTGTCTCATGATAATTTTATTTGAACTTTCTGAAGAAGGAAAAGGGAAAAGAGCATGATATCAATGACCATTAGTAACTGTCAATGCTTCCCCCAAAATACCTCTTTTTGTTTGTTTGCTGTCTTTGAAAAACCTAATGACATAAAACTAAGTGATTGGCAGAAAATACCTTTTCCCCAAATCCAGGACCACAGAGAGAAATGGCTCACTGTTTTCTGTAAGATTTGAACGTATTTTATGACTCAAATATTAATTCTAATTAACTGACTTGCTACTCTTATGTCTGAGAATTTTAAGGTCCTCATGAGTACGCAATACAACGATTCCTGTTCCTACCAAGATGTAACAAGATAGTTTTCTTCTTTTTCTTTCTTTCTTTCTTTTTTTTTTTTCCTCGTGTTGTCGTTCCCAGAGCCATGCACATTATCTTTTACTGAAATGGAAAAGAATAATTTACTTCTGAAATGGGATTTTGACAATAGACCACATATTTTGCATGGTGAATATGTTGAGTTTATTTGTAGAGGAGATACTTATCCAGCTGAATTATATATTACTGGATCTATACTTAGAATGCAATGTGACAGAGGGCAGTTAAAATATCCAAGATGTATTCCAAGACAAAGCTAAGAAGTGGCTTTCACCTATAGGTATGTTTTTTTTTTGGTCAGATTGTTATTCAACATTTCAGAAATGTTATGTTCTACACCACTCTTACTTTATGGCAACTGGAAAGAAAAAATAATAATATTTTCTTCATTTGTTTTATACCAAGCAAACAACTGGAAGTGGTAATGAATTCGACAGGCCTTTTGAATTGTCTGAAGTGAAAGCAACATTTGCCATTTGATATTTGTGACACTTTGGCAAATGGAAAAATAAATCAATTTATATGTGTAATACTTAAATGTGCAAAAATTAACCTATATGTTCTGTGATAAGGACAAAATCACACTTTCTCCTACTTCTCAATCTAATTTCATGCACTACTAATAAAGTTTGGAAAATATGGTGTTTATTTTCTGAACCACATTTTTATGTAACTTTTGGAAATCACATACTAAGGTGTTTCCTCATACTACAATTTAAAAAATACATCTTCTACTACTTACAAGAAATAATTTAACTATTTTCTTAGAGAAATGTTAAAAAAAGTATAATAAAATTATGTAAAGCATTTTGTAGGATCAGAATTTTAACCGTTTTTGAAGACATTATATACAGAAAATGGAAATTATATTTTTTGTTCAGCTAAGAATATTAAAAATATAAGTAGTGGCAAAGTGCATGTGGTCCTGTTTTAAAAATTGCAAACAATGAACTATATGAATTCATAAAGCCAGCTTTTTAGATGCTTTGACCGCTCTAATAAAAAAATATGTAAAAGACACACAATAGTGGGAAAATTTTTTATTTTTATTTCTAATTGTGGCAAAATCAGGGTGGAAAAAAATTTATATGCTATTTAAATGTTTTGGTACAGTATGAATTTCTCACTTTCAAAAGAAAAAGGTAAACATGTAGAAAAATATTTAAAAAATGGTGAGTAGTGTAGTAAATAATATTGAGTTTTTTAAAGGGAACTGGTGGTATTATTTACTAAGTAAGATAATTTATTCTTAATAGTACTTAATAAAAACAATGACTATATGAAAAATTGAAAGGCTAAGATTATAATAAACACTTGACTACAATTGATGCTTATTTCAAAAATCTCTCTTTTTCCCCTTAAGGACTCTGTCTTATCAAGAACCCTTAAGAACATAGAATTGAATGGCAGAAAGAGGAGTCATATTTCAATATATCATGAAATTCCTTATAAAACATAATTTTGAAGAAGTATGTTAAGTTAAAAACTTCTGAGTTTTTCCTTGCTTAAATATTTGAATCTAAGTTGTTTGTGCTGAACATTTCTTTATTTATAAATAAAAACCAATAAATGTTGTTTAACTTTTAGTTTGTATAATTTGATGTAGAATGTAATCTCTTTTGTATGTCTTCCATATGTTACAAATTAATCTACACATCAAAATATTTTCATTTCCTAATGCCCATTGACTAGACTATATCATTGTTTTCAATATACTGTATGTGTAAAAATTTTACATTCATATTCATTATCACTTTTATTAATATTAAGGCTTTTGTTACCCATAATTCAAAGTTTATGTCAATATTAAAGGGCCAAACACACTAGAGATAAGAAACTATATGCTGTATTAGAGAATCTGCTTTATTAAAGACAGAAGAGACTGCCCTTCGGACTTTCTAAATGTAAAAATACTTTTAAAATTAACTGTAATATTTGTTACCAGGTTAATAACCAAATTGTTTATGAGGTAGTATACTACCATATTTGAACATGTGCTCAAATATTGTTAAAGAGACACAGTTAAAGAAAGAATGACTCTTGGAATTTTATTTTATTTATTTATTTATTTATTTTGAGATGGAGTCTCCTTCTGTTGCCCAGACTAGAGTGCAATGGGATGATCTTGGCTCACTGCAACTTTCACCTCCTGGGTTCAAGCAATTCTCCTGCCTCAGCCTTCCGAGTAGCTGGGATTACAGGTGTGTACCACCATACCCAGCTACCTTTTTTTTTTTTTTTTTTTTTGTATTTTTAGTAGAGATGAGGTTTCACCATGTTGGCCAGGCTGGTCTCAAACTCCTCACCTCAGGTGATCCACCTGCCTCGGCCTCCCAGGACTCTTGGCATTTTTACATTTTACACTTTCAAGTCTTTTTTTAGATTAGATGATTTTTGGAATTATGTGGATTACAAAATCTGAAATAAGAGCATCCTACAAGCATCAAAAAACAACTGTCAGTATTATCAAGGTCTGTTAGAGACATGAAACAGCAACATTGTCACTTTTTCATCTGAAGTGAGAATTATACTTCCAATTGTTATTTCAGCTCATTGATAAGCACATGTAATAGCAGTAGTACCCAGACACTAGGACCCGTATTAGGATTGGTTGTTGGTATTAGAACAAGTTTTCCTTTCTAGAAACTATTCAGTTATTCTAACTCAAGATCTGTTTCTCCTTGTGATGATATTCTCAAATGCCCAAAGGACAATTCTCTACTGCTGGGTATGAAATAGCTTCTTTCGGAAATGACGCCACAGCTGACCTAACTCTGTGGATTAAATAGGTATTAATTCATTCAATGTTAAATATGTATATTTCAGAACTGTCCTTGAGTTCATATTCATTATTTTAATTAATCTCCTGTAGTAGGTTCCCACAGTGGATCCCATAAAAATGGAAATTTAATTAAAATTAAATATCAACAGAAAAGCAGTAATCTTTTTAAATAAATTCATCAATCTATCAATTAAATAACATTATTGAGCACCTGCTCTATCCCACGGAACATGCTGGGTAGTGCAGGATTCAAAACGATTAAAATTCTCCTTGTTATTTTTCAAAGAATGCAAAGTAATGACCTACTTACTTAGTAAAAGAGATAAACTTGTACTAGTGATTGCAAACTCAAAATGGGTGATGATTGTGGCTTATCTAGTGATATTTCTAGTGAACTGGAGATGGCATGCACTGTTTAACCAGGACAACTACTTCGCTTAAGGTGAATTATTGTCATGGGGGAATATTGTGTCCAGTATCGCCATATGTTTTGATTTGTTAATTGTGAAATGCACTGATTTTTATATGTTGAGAGGAGATAAAAAATTCTTTAGGCAATGCAGCTCAAAGTAAACTCCACATGCTAAAGAAATAAAAATTTTGAAAAGTACAACAGTGGAAGCACGTACAAAGTAAAGTGGAGGAACAAAGTAAGTATATTTAACTTTTTTTTTTTTTTGTATGGTTGTGGTATAGGAAGCATCTTGGAAAAAAGTGAAAGTAAGTCTAGGTTTAAAAGACTTTAAGAAAAGACATTTCAAGTAGAAGGCATAGCATATGCAAAGTAAATGCTCATACTATATGCTAGGCATTACACTAACCACTGAAAATAAAACAATAAGACACACACTGTTTCTGCTCTTGTGAAGCTTTTCTCTCGGAGCAGAGGAAAGATGTAAGCAAATCCCTACGAAATGAGGCATAGCAGCAAAGACCCCATCATTGTCAGTAAACACCAGATGATACTGCCTAGTACTGGGTGTTTAAAAAGTTTTCAGTGAGGAAGTGATATATAAGTGATATATAGGCTGAGATTGGCTGGGAGAAAATATAAGAATTCATGTAGAGAAAGAACATGAAAAACAGCAAAGAACATGACGTTTCCAAGAAGCTAATAAAAATCCAGTAGGGACTGAGTGGAAAGGAGTGAAGGACAGAGAGGAGTACATGAAACTTGGAGAGGTTGGAGCCCTGATTGTGAAGGCCTTTGTAGGTCAAATTAAAGATTTTGGAAGTCACTAAATGGAATGCAATGCTTACTGGGAATTTTTTAAAGACATCACTGACTGTAATATGGAGAGACTGATCGGACGGGAAAAGGTGTGGGCAAAGAGAAATCACTGAGGAAAATAAGGCAGTCATCCAGCAAAGATAAGGTAGTCACTTACACTGGTGGCAGCAGCAGGATGGTACAAACTAAGCTGAAATAAGATATTTAGTATGTGGCATCATTAGAATGATAATTGACTAGATGTGGGGGACAGTGAGGCAGAGAAAAGAGTTCAGGAGAACTCCTAAGTTTTGGCTTGACTAAGTGGATGGGATGGCCATCTAAATGTGATAGGAAGAATGGGAAGGAGAAGCAATGGGAGGGAGTGTGGATTAGCATGAAGAGTTTTATTAATAATTTTGGAAATGTGTTTTTGAGGTATCTGTGAGATAGGCAAGTGAAAAGACTAAGTAAGCACTTTATTCTTTTTTTTTTTTTTGTAGACAGAGTCTCGCTCTGTTGCCCAAGCTGGAGTGCAGTGACACCGTCTCAGCTCACTGTAACCTTCTCCTCCTAGGTTCAAGTGATTCTTGAGGACGTACTTGATTCTTAGGGTTACAGCTTTGATGAACTACCTAGATTTCCTTCAGAAACACAAAGACTTCTTTTCCAGCTACTGGAAAAGCATTGTTTTTTATATATAAGTGGGCTATATATTACATATCATACCGTATATATTGTTGTAGGACTTACATTTTCACCCAAAATAAAATAAACTATTATCATGTCAGCATATATAGGTTGGCTTTGTTCTCTGTAATAACTGAATAGCATTTTATAAGCTAGGGGTAACATAATTTAATTATTCTTTCATTAATGGACTTTTCAATTGTTTTATCTTCCTTATATTCTGTCTTTTACTTTTCTTTTTTCTGTCCTTCCTTCCCTTCATTTCTTCCTTCGTACATTATAGGTGGGAGTCAAATAATAAAATGTAAAACTGAAATAGAATAGTAGAATTCTAACACATTTAAAAGAACCAATATAAACACCAAGAAAGATCTTAACATTGAATAAACTTAGAAGATGGAGGAGTTGGAAAGAAGGAGAGGAAAGAAAGAAGTTGTAAGCCAATTTTATATTTTTTAATGATAACAACAAATAGACATTGCCCAAAATCTATGGAAGTAAGATATTATTTTAAAATCATAGCATAAACTACCTAAAAATACCCTTCTTCCTAAATAGCAAAATAAATAAAAACTACT